AACCATAATGATTCTATGATTCTAACTGGGCTCCATGTCCATGGTGAGCTTCCCACAAGCTCATTCCTGGAGCAGTTGTCTTTAGAAAAGCCATACAAGTCTAAGCAGGAAGTAATAGATGCATCAATTTAAAGTCAGAATTCCACATGGACTTACATTTCATCAGAGATTATTATACAACTTTGCCTGTTTTACATGGTGTTACATACTTCAACTAAACAGACTAAATCCATTTTTTTTAATTTCTTGATTAAAAAATGTTGTTTCTTACTTGTTCAGAGCCTCTGCCATAGCAAACATACTTAATTGTGGAGTTCTGTCATCAGGGAAAACTCCCAATTTTTTCAGAACTTTGTTTCAAACTCATTTTGAAAATGCAATTACAAGTGGCGAGTGGAGATTTAGCTAAAACTATTTTACCTTCTACTTTAGTATTCTGTATGTGTTTGTGCTTGTCCATGCCTCTAATAAATAGTCAGGCCAAAAGCTTTATAACTTTGTTCAGTAGCTGAGTGTAGCTCTGAACTGACTGAATTGCATTCAACAGTGAACATGCCATGGTAGAGAGAATGCTATGTTTGTCTGCGCTCTGGTCTGTGCTTTCCCCCTTCCTCAGCCCGCACTCACTTTTGCTGAAGTCCTCGAGGAGCTGTTGCAATCCGGCTCTTATGAAAGTCGAGTCCTGACCATGTAGCATGTCTCATGTAAATTATTTTGGTGGTTTTTAAACCAGACCTTTGATTTCTCTCTAGCAGTAACTTAAGTCCTGCTAACACAACCAAATAATCTTGTAGGTCCTCCACTAGGCCGGAGGTTGCAAGCATAGAGCTGGCAGATCAGGATGAGCGCCAGTGTTCGCAGAAAGCCGTTGTCCAGGCAAGGTCCTCACAGCCCACACGTCTGACAAGTATCATCTTTGCTGAAGATATAAGTAAGTTTTAACTTTTGTAAGCACACCACTACTTGTTTATGGGTATCCTGGCATATTCCAGACACAAAGTAGGGATTTAAAAGTGCACAAAACAAGAAATTTCCATTCATATGCATAGTCATTTTAGACTTTCCATGGGCATGGTTTGTAAGTTCTGTTTGTTCAAGACCTCAAATAAGTGTTAATGATATTAATGATACATCCAGGAAAATGAGTAATTCTTTTAAAAAAAAAAAAAAGGGGGGGGCAGGGTGGCTGAAAATACTTTTCAGTACATACTTTTTATATAATGCAAATTCAGATGTTTTGCATTTAGAAAAATGGAAATTACCTTTGTGTCTGTCATACAATATACCTGGTTAGTTTTTATAATGACAGATAGGGAAAACAGATGGTCAATTAACTGTCTTGCAGTCACTAAATGAAGAAGGATATAGGGGTTTATTGTCTGTGGGTAAAAGTCATTATGCTCTCTAGGACATGAGGCATGTCTGACAGTTGCACTGTAGAAACTCTTAATATGTACTCAGGGAAAACATCTGTAACTGTTAGTGTAGATGGAAATCATGGTTTTTTTAAGTTTTATTCTAAAGTTCAGTGAGGAAGGAAACTGCTTTTCTTGCTTGCTTAGCCACAATGACCATTTAACCAAGAGTTTCTTAGTCAAGGTCATGACCCAGTTTCAGTTCCTTAAGTGTCAGTGTCTTGTGTCATTGGCTAAATTTGAGATGCATTTTGTCTTGGTGCTCTTCATGAGCATGTCCAGTGTTGCTGCTTTCATGTGCTCTTTCTGATATCTCTTCAAGTGACTGGACAAGTGCTTCGTTGTGATGCTATAGTTGATATAATTCATGGCATCCAGATTGTGTCCACAACGAGAGAACTCTATCTTGAAGATTCACCACTGGAGCTAAAAATTCAGGCTTTGGATTCTGAAGGTAAGAGATTTACTAGTAGGAGGTAAAATAGGTAATGAAACTCTGAGTTGTCAGATATGTCCACTGGTTTTATTTGTGACACTGTTGAATCTTAGAAGCCAAGCTGAGTAATTTAAAGGAAGTTCTCTAGGTAATACATTCAGTAACCTATTGTTTTTGTTTAAGTGGAAAATCTATGTACCACCTGAATAGGAAAATCAAACACTGCTTGATTTCTAACAACTTTTGCTTGCCTTTTTTCCTTATTTTCCCAGAAAATTTAACTCTAGTGCTAAGGGTATTTTTAAAAATTAGAATTTAAAATAATTAAAAGTGTCAGCTCTTAGCAATTCTACCTCCAGGTCAGGAGTAAGAACATAATGGGAAAATGTCCCAACACTTGTGCTGTTGAAATGTCCCATCAGGATTTAACTAGACTGAGCAAGGCTGCACAGGAACATGAACTAGTCAGTTCTTTTTTTTTTTTTCCCCCTCTCTTTTATTCTTTTGAGCTGAGATAATCTAAATAATTTTGCAAAAGGATATTTTATTTGAGTCCAAACAAGCATCCAACAGGATGTTCAGAGATGATGTTGAAGACCAACCACCTGTTGCTTGGATTAAGATCCTTTAATTATTATAGAAACACTCACTTTTGGGAGGTACCATTTAGGCTTATAAAAGTCAGTGCATTTGGACTGAATACATAATTATTTAATAGAGGCAGAAAACTTCCGCTTTTCATGCTGTCTGTAGCATCAGAAAAAGAACTATGATGCTGGTAAGGATTTCATGCTTTGGTTTCAACAATCGATTTTTATGCACACATGAACATGGATACAAACCAAGTGATTTTTAGGACAGCTACTGGGCTGAAAGGAAATTATATGTAAAGAGGCTATAAAAGGTTGAATTGTTTGTTTTGGCTAGTTAATGAGCCCATCCTACGTTTGTTTGCTTGTAAACCATGAATGCCAGATTATGTATGGAAATATGTTAATAATGAAAAGTAATTTTGTTTTCTTATACTATGCATAATACTGGATTCTTGGCTTGGTGTTTCTGCAAACTCTCAAGCATGCTCAATGGACCAATTTGCCTTGGAAGCCACCCAAATTAGAGTCTGAACAGGGAGCAGTGGTTCAAAACCCACAAAGAATGTTTAATCTGCATGACTGAAACAGGCGTTGGTTAGAAGATGTAGGGCTAAACTTCCTAATCTAAGTTTAGGGGATCGGTATACACTCAAAAGCTTTGAAAATCAGTTCCTTTTGACCCAAATAACCCTGGGATCTATCCTTGGGAGACCTTTGGACATATTGGACTCTCAGTGGTCTTTCTCGACACACTTCAAAAAAAAAAATAAAATTCAAGAGCAGTGGCAAGTTTATTGAAGGACATAATTGCTCAGGAAAAGTCAGAGAATGGAATAAGGACCTTATGAACGCTTTTTTTTTTAATTTTCAGAAGGTGAAAAAAATCAACATAAAATAATTATCTAGTTGAATGAGTATTGGGGAGAAATCTGCTTAGGTTTGCTGAAAACTTGCACAAACACCAGGTGCCCAGCCTCTTACTGCAGCCTGTACTAGAGAGAGAGAGAGTAGACGCTTTGAGGCAGCGGTTGTATGTATACAGTGTTGCAGTGACCTAGCTTTTTGCCTGGTATGATGCTGAAGCATCACAGAGGAGGAGCTCTGGGCTGGGTTAGGGCTGGGGATGCCTGCATTGACATCTGAGGAGCCTGGGAGGATAATGTTACAGCTGGCCAGGGCTGCAGTCTGCAGTTCCTGTGACAGCTGTGTGATCCTGCAGGGAAGGACAAAGACAAAAGAGAGTTCAGGACAAGCAATGTGTTACCTGTCTGCCTTCCTGGGTGCTGCCTCTGATAACCTGGAGACAGCTGCTGCCTTCTGTGCTGTGGAGGTAACTGATCCTGTCTCGAGTGAGGCCCTGCATCGTCTGGAGAATGCCCATGATAGTTTGTCTTTGATAACCTGACTTTGCCTTCGTAGTGAGGGACACCAACAGGAGCCAGGACATCCAGGCCCAATGGTGGTTCACAGGCTGTAAGGAAGCCTTCGTACTTTTGCTACCAGCTCGCTGCAGCACCAGCTGTATCCAGGCATAGCCTTTCCATAGTGCCATGATGTGCGTTTCTCCACTGACCTTATTATTTTCAATTGGAGCAAAACAAAAGAGTGTAATACAGCTTTGCAAAGCTAAAGCATGCATTGTTAAAGAAAGTTAGGCTTGAATGCATGTTAAATAATCCAATCTCAATCAATTTTAATTATATTGCCTAGAGTTTTGTGTTTAAAATCCTATTTATTTAGGATTTGGAGCTATCTTCAGTAAGTTATATAGAAACAGGAGAAAAAACATGGGCTGTGCATTGTGTTAACTTGTCTTAAAATATTTTTGTGGCTTAAAAATGTCATAAATCTTTAAGAATTCAATAATAAATTTGCTTTGATTCTTACTTTATTAATATAGATATAAATGTCAAAGGAAGTAACATGAATGAGAATATGTTTTAAAATATAGTAAATACTGGGATTTCAGTTCCATATTTATTTGTGCCAGTGGGCACTGCAATTCAGAGCACGACTCATCTTGAATATTGTAAGATCTTTCAGATTAGCAGCTCATTACACTTAAATGTAATCATCATAAATCTTTGTTTTAAGTCCATTTATTCCCTTTTGCTCCTTTTTAACATTTACAGTTTCTCATGTTCTAGTAGTTCGTAGTTTCTAGAAAGAAGGTGCTCAGTTTGAGTTCTTTGACTGAAGACTTATTCCTTTTATGGGTAAATCATGGCTGTGCTCAAAACCAAAACAATATATGTGGAAAGTGCAATTTGTCAGTGCTGTGAACTCAAGTTACCTAAATGGTATCTCAGATCCACATGTTTCAAAATGAAAAATTGTTTAGCAGGTTTTTTTGATGTCCTGCTAATATCCAAGAAATAGGAAGGTTTTTGTGGTCAAAGGGGAAAGGAGGTGGTGAGCACCAAGGATTATCTTAGGGGCTGACAAGTGGAGGACAGGTGGTGACACCTGCATCTATCTTGTGGACTTTGTAAAAAACATAAAATAGCGTATTGGTGTTGCAAAATGTGAACAGAAAAGCCAGTTAACAGAAATATCTTATGTTTGCTGAAGTCATTAAAGCAAAGTAGATTGTGATTTTTAACTAAATACCAATAGTGCTTCTTTTAGGGATAAGATAGAGAAATTTCCTAGGGGAAAAAGTCATAGTTTGTGTTCCAGAAAGACTCTACACTTGTTATTTATTTTTGTTTTAATCTGATCCTTTGAATTATAGGAAACACTTTCAGCACATTGGCAGGGTTAGTCTTTGACTGGACAATAGTAAAAGACACAGAGGCTGATGGCTTCTCAGATTCCCACAATACATTACGGTAAGTTCATTTAATTTGTTCTCAGTAATCTTGTGCCCATGAAGTTTGATGTGTTTAAATATTTCCCCACATCTAGGCAGTTTACTGAACTGACGCCTAAAATAATGCTTATGGGTCAATTGTTTCATGGTTGTTTTTTTTTTAAGTGCCTACTCCACAGCCTGGGCTCTCTCATCCCTGTTTAATTTAACAACTGATAGTGTTAATGAGCAACACCGGTAGCTCTAATGCAACAGCTAGAAATAAATAGAGGCGATTGTTGATCTTCCTGAAACGTCTTGTGCAAAAGAAAGATTTATCGGTAAGACTCTTATCTCAGGACTTCAGCAGTGAGATTTGGTTTTAAATTTTTTTTTTTATTTTTTTTTTTAAGGAAAAATAGTCCTCTTCCGTTTCAGAAAGAGCTCTCCAAACTTGAAGAGTTTCAAGTTTCAGTCAACACTTAGTTCTGGTGTTGAAGTAGCTTTCGAACTAGCTAACCTTTAAATTGCAATGGACCAAGTGGCTGCTTGTAAGCTAGATACAGCTCATCAGGCCAGGTGAAATAATTCAATGAAAGGTATTCAGTGAAGGTATTAAGTATATTGTCTTTCAGACAAAGCAATGAATGGAAAGCACTTTCTTGATAAATAAGCTATGGTGCTTGGTTCATCATCTGTACTGACTAAAAGAATAAGAGAGTAAGTTAACTGGAATTTAGAAGTGCTGCATTTTGTGAAAACTTCTAATCAAAGATCTTGAAAGTGCTTTTCAACTCATTAATGAGATAAGTGTTTTTCAGTGTTTCTGTATAATAAGGAAATATTCCCTCCATTTAATGGAGGTGGAGTTCTTGCCCAAAAGTCAGAAAGCTCACCTATGGCAGGGATAGGAATAGAATCCAGACCATATGATCTTTTTTTTTTCCCCTCCTATATTTGTCACCAGACCATCTTTGGCCTCTGTTTTGGTGGTGGTGTTTTGTTTTGTTTTTTTAATTTTATTTTATTAAGCATGTGTACTATGTAGTTTTACAGTGATGACTTCATCATTCTGTTCTTCAGTGGCTTCAAACAGAAATTTGAGTTTACATCCTTACTAAAATAACCAGAATTGAAGGCTACTTTGTATGGGATATTTTTCAGGTTGGACTCCAAGAGTTTTATCTTTGCACTGACACCAACTGGTGTTGACACACCAGGATCCTGTTATCTAGCAGTATTATGCTAGTATTCATCATATTATATTCATGGTGAATCCTGACTTGGCTCGACATGAATGTTGGTGGAAAAAATGCCTCCCTGGTATATGTGAATTTGACCAAACTGCAAACACATGAAACACAGGTTTTTCTTACGGAACAGTTTACAGACACTTCTTGAGTACAGAAGTGTCCAAACTTCCCTATCATGTAGTAAGCTTGTAAGATGAAATAGATTCAAACTCATGTACCAGAGGCTTCAGTTGCTTCAGAAAACACGTTCCAGCAAAATGTAGATAGATTGTGGGACATAACGTAGGAAAGACATCTTCCTTTGAAGAACCTGGCTTTATTCATATGATGATTCTGTAAGTAGCATGTGGGGAAAACAGTTCTCTTAGAGAGCAGAATGGTTAACAGTTAACTTCCATCCTCACACCTATATTCCAAATACATTGGAAATGGGGTAGGGGTAGCAAAAAAGACTCTCTGCTGCTGGCTAAACACAAACTCCAGTTTTGCAGCCTTAGAGAAACAAACGTACAACATTGCCTGAGGAAAGCCTGTTAAGCCCATAATACACTTGAACCCGCAGAGTGTGTGGCCTCTATCTACAGCGAGAGCCAGGCAGTGTGCTAACTGTTTGATGGGACTTATGATCCAAGTCCTAGTCCATACAGAGCTTTTTGTTTCAGTGTAAGTATTTGATAGAGATGTGATTTTAACAAAACTAATAATGATATATGCTCTACTGTTAGCACACCTATGATAACATAAAAATGCTCTAATGGTGTTACAGCTTTGCGAAATAAATGATAAACTGTCATGAATATGTTAATGTTCATAACTGTTCTCAATATGGCTTTATTGATATAACTGTAAAAGTGCACATAAAGCCAAACAGATCATGTACACACAGAAGCTGTGGCAACCTTTAAAACATGGTCCTCTTTCAATTTCTGTCCTGTTGTTTACCCATTCATGGCAAATTCCCTTCCTCTCTGTTGTCACATTTCATTGAAATTTCTAACACTTACTAGGAGTATTCTGCTTGTTGATTTTTTTTTTTTTTTAATAGTCATTTATTAAATGCATCCTAACTTCTTCATATAGGTCAAAGTTATGTTCTGGTTTGTGAAGCTGTTGCTTTTATAAACATAAGCTTTGGGTCTTTCACATCAGTTGTTCCACAATAATCTAGAGAGCTTTTGCAGTCTACACCTCCTGTAAAAATTGGAGGAATCATTATAGACAACATGTGCAGTCTTCTGATATCTCTTGAAAGCCCACAAACAAGCTTCAAACGAACTTTTATCAGCCACAGAAATTAGCTGCAGATATCTTGAAGAATGAGTAAAATTTGGATATCGAGCCCAGGCAGACATCTCAAATTTGCTTAAAAATAGAAAAAGCTGGGAATAGATGCTGATGTTATTTCTCTGTGGGTTTACAAAGATTGGTTAACAATTTTCTGTTAACTTTTTGGTTCACCTTTCAGTATTCTCAAGTTCTTAGAATCCAGTTATATTCCACCTTCCTATATATCGGAGATGGAAAAAGTTGCCAAGCAAGGAGATACTATTTTGGTGTCTGGAATGAAAACAGGGAGTTCTAAATTAAAAGCAAGAATACAGGAAAGCGTCTATAAGGTAAGAAGTTTGCATTCGACTTTTTATTTTTTCTTTTTTTCTTTTTTTTTTTTTCTTTTTTTGCTATTTAGTCTTATAGTTCAATGTTACAGGAGTACTGTAAGTTTGCCCTGCAGTATTGTTCCCATTGTGGATATCAGTGCTACATCTCTGCATTACTGGATTGACTCTGTAGCTCATATCACAACAGATGACAGTGCTGCTCTTGATCACCCTGGAAGAGTTGGAGTTTGATGCAGTTACCTTGGTGAAGTTACCTAACCCAGGATGGTGCATGTGCCAGAGATAATTTCTAAACCTAACTCTCTGACAAAAGGCCCTGCAGCAGAGGAATACGCTTCAAATACTCCTGTACAATTTTATTATTCTTGATAGTCATTCATATTATATACATAACTAGAATCACGCTGGATAGGGCATTGGCCCTTTAGCTCTTTTTAAAAATAATCAACTAGAACATTTCAAGTCTTTTTTTTTTTTTTTTCAATAAATAAATACCTACAACAAGGGTTGCTATATTAGATATAACTTTATTTCCTGTTGGGCTTGAAGTGAGTGTCATATGAATACTTCGTTAGTATCTAATTCTACCTCATTAGATTCTGGTCCCCAAGGAAGGGCTTTGGGATCAGAATGTCAATGCTACAAGGGTGTTAAACTGCAGTATTGGCGCTCTTCCCAGCTGTTAAGTAGATCCATGCTGTTTCTTTCTTGTAAGTTGTGGTGACTGAGTTTTTCATTTAACTGTGGTAGCAGAGTTGGGTTTTTACAAGCACTTGAGAGAGTTTTTACGGGTTATCACTTACAGGAATACTTGGCATTGTGATAGTATCAACTTAATACTGCACCTTCAAAAAATCCTTATATAAAATGGTGGGTTTTTTCTGCAGTTGATCTCATATCTGCAGTCTGGTTTTGCAGATTTGCGTTGCCACATGTTGTACTTAATGTTTTTGCTTAAAGCAAAAATTGGACTTGCCTTGGACTATCTAACCCATACCTGTAAAAAGTGTTCTATGAGAATATTATTTAAATGTATGTAATACTAGTGACGTGGCACTATGAGAATATTCTTTAAATGTATGTAATACTAGTGACGTGGCACAAATAATAGTGCATGTTAAGAATTACATTTTTGTTACAGTTCTACCTGATTGTGCTGAATATAGTTACTCTACATATCAGTCTAACTTTTTTTTTCTTGAATGATTGTAGCTTGATTAGTTTTCTGTTTTAATATTTTTTTTTCTGAATTAGTTTCAAGCTGATACTGTAAGTGAAATAGAAATAATATTGTTCTGTTTACAATTTTCTGTGGCTTTCTGGCTAGTAGTTCCTTTAAATCTTTCACTGCTGCCAGACTGCACGTTTTCAGTGAACATCCCTCAAACCAACTGTAATAGAATTTATATAATTATCTGTTGTGTTCTTAATTTAATAGACCAATGAGTTTGATACAGATTCCTCAGTGAAATTATAATGGATAGGTTGTATGGAGATACCATGTTTTACAGTAGGAAAAATAAATTTCTAGATGTCTGAATAGTTATAGTGCATCTGTCTCAAATTTTTCTGCGTTCTCCAGAAAACTGAACCAAAATGATGTCTATATAAATTTTTTTTTCTTCAGCCTTGCACAGTATGCACAGAGCAGATCTCTATAATGTTCGTTGTCCCTTGCATTTCATGGTTCTGACAAAATTTGAGATGATAATAAAGAGCCAATTACAGGAAGTAATATTTTTCACTTATAGATTGTAAGTTATTGCTGTATGATCTGTTTCAAATAAATGAGCTGCTTTAGATGTTGTTGCTTTTTTTTTTTTCCCCCCTCAATCAATAGCATGTACATCCTGCAGAAGTCAGATTGCTTATTTTGGAAAACATCCTTTTAAATCCAGCATATGACATTTATCTTTTGGTGGGAACATCAATTCAGTACAGAGTTCAGAAAATAAGGCAAGGGAAGATTACAGGTTTGTCCTTTTTTTTTTTTTAATGCTTTGTGTGATATTTTAACTGCTGAGAGATTTTTAATTGTGCTTAAGCTACTTTGTTAATATTCAATACCGTTTTCCTAAACCACGTGATGATACAACTGCTTACTTTTTTCTGTCAAAAAAATTGTGTCTATAAAGCATATATGGTTGCAGATTTGTCAAGGACACGAAGGTAAAGGTAACTTAGAATAGGAGCCGACGCTATCATTTTAGATGTATTTATTTATTTCACATTGACTAAGAACCTGTGTCTGACTTTCTTAGTTAAATCAAATTCAGATTAGTATCTTTTCTAACAGAAAATGTTTTCTTGACAAATGGATTTGCTTCAGTTCTACAAGTGTGGGTTAGTTGGCTTTATGTCCATTTAAAAGTGTGGAAGTTCATAATTGCATCTGTTGCTTACAAAGAGCCTGTACTGGTAATGACTTTTTTCTTTCCTTCCCCTTCTTCTTTCCTTCCCCTTCTTCTTTCCTTCCCCTTCTTCTTTCCTTCCCCTTCTTCTTTCCTTCCCCTTCTTCTTTCCTTCCCCTTCTTCTTTCCTTCCCCTTCTTCTTTCCTTCCCCTTCTTCTTTCCTTTTTTTTTAAAGAAATGTTTCACTAGGCTCACTACGTCAGCTAGTAATGCAAAATGAAGCAGCAGAAATTGTCAGTAACTCATAGAAAGTAATTTGACCACTTCTGAAGCTGGGAGTGAATTGTCTGTTAGGTCTAAACAGTGGGATGATATTAATTGGAGATTGCAGCTTCAAAGAAATTAAAGTTAGGCAAGAAGCTCATTTTGTGTGTGTGTGTTAACATAATCACAGAAATGCTATTTCTACAAGACATTAAAAATGCTGATTTAATGTGTGTACTAGGCATCAATAAAAAAATAATCAGCAATAATTAGCAACATCCAAACACACACTTGCTTTTATTGTTTCATATGTTGTCTTGTTTTATGTACAGAATTAGTGATGCCATCTGATCAATATGAACTGCAGCTACAGAACAACGTACTTGGTCCTGAGGGAGATCCATCTTGGCCAGTTGCCAAATTGGACCAGGCGACATCGGTTGTAACTGCATTGCAGCAGGGACAAACTAACCTCGTACTGGGGCACAAGAGTATCCTTCCTAGGTGATGCTTTTCCATCCAGATCTTCATGGCAGGAGACAAACTTTCCACCCTTTGCAGCACAAAAGGATAAAATTATCTACATTTTTACCAATAGTCTTGAAAATCAGGACCACCTGGTGGAGCCATAGAAAGTAGCACTGCTGTGAATTCAGTCTTGACAGAGCTGCCTGATGCCTTGACATATTCTAAGAAGTTAGGTTGGCAAAAGATCAATTAAATCATGACTGTTCCCCTCAGTCAATGTAGAAATGTAATGGGGATTTATTTAATTTTTATATTTAGAGCATTATATTGTCTAGTGGAATCTCTAAAATGCTCAATGTCTTTCAGGGTACTGGGGTTAACATTTATTTTCAGTGTACAATTGGCTTTAAATATCCAAAGAGGCACAAAGAGCCCCAGGAACAAGCTGGTCTTTACTTGACTTTTGTTGAAACTTTTCTGTTCCTTTACTGAGTCTTCAGGTATTCGGATGCAAGGGGTTTCCAGACTACCAAACAGCACTATCTATGTTGTAAATCCTGGATATTTAGGTTGGTACTGGCTGCAATTTTCCTGATGGCTTATCATTTCTTGCCTTGTTATTGTGTTCATGTTTTACTTTATGTATATACGTGCTTCTATTTCTTGTATTACTTTTCATAGAAAAGTAATTTTATTCATAAAAGTAGCTCAATGTGAAATAGCTTTAGTAGTAAATATTTATTTGTTTTCTTTCATCTCTGTATTCAGCAGCTTAAACCAATGAATGTGCATTTTCAGAGTGTGGGCACCAGAAGCAAAATGCTTATATCCATTACGTAAAGAGGCTGTTGGTTTGTGCTGTTCAATATTTTCTGTTTTGTAGGATTTACAGTTCATCCAGGTGACAGATGGGTCCTAGAAACAGGCAGACTTTATGAAATTACAATCGAAGTATATGATAAATCAAGCAATAAGGTGTATTTATCTGATGTAAGTTGGAATGTTGATATACTTCTGAGTGTCTGTCTCCTAAATCCTGGCTTTCTTTGAAATTAGTTGAGCAGTTTCTTATTTACATTGCTAAGATTTTTCATAGCATGTTGTTTCTTGCCTTTTCCTCCCCCCTCCCCTCCTCTTTTTTTTTTTAAAAAAATAAGAACTCTGGATGATTCATGTGAAAGTGCCCATTGGAGTCTTAAGTGCTGTAGAGAAAAGTGAAAGAAGTTGGACAATGCAATTCAAACATGTAGCATAGGCATTGCACTGGAAATTGCAAACGGGTGTAACTGCTGGAGAGCAGTACTAATAGTGTACTTTGACTCATCAGTCCCCCCCCAAACACAATATTGTCATGTCTAGAGGCAATCTTTCCTATTAAAGAACGAGGTGTAAGGTAGCCTTATAACACTCATGAAGAGCTACCTGTTTCCTTTCAGTTGATTATGGGAAAAACTTGGATGATTAGCTAGCATTAAAACGCTTCACTGTTTGGTAGTTAAATAAGATGATTTCTAGGTACTAGGTACCAAATATACATTGCTGTTAAAAAAAAATAATTAAATAGTTCTTTTGCAAGCAGAAGAAATTTATTAAATTATTGCTTTTCAGAATATTGAATTTATGTGGATGTTATTTTATTTGCACTTATTTGCTTCCTGAGATACAGATCTGACTTTCAGCTGGGTCTCAGAAATGTGCTATTGGGGCAATATATTTGGCTGTTGCTCCCCGTCTGTGTTTAAGAATGACAAAATTAAGAAATTATTGTAAAATATGCATTATTTAGTGGTATAAATATTGGTACTTTTCATGTTAAATTACATGTTGCTGATAATTTTAAAAAGTGAATATTTTCTGTGGAGTTAATGCTATGTCTAAAAGATATAATCTTGCTGAAAGACTGAAACTATTATAGAGATAAATTCTTACTGAGTTTCAGATAAGTTTCTTTGAACTATATTATTGAACAATTGTTTTCTTATTGATGTGTTGCTAATATGTTTATGGTTGTCTGTACAGTATTTGTCAGTTACATGTGGCAATATTTATTTAATGTTCTGGTTTTAGAATATCAGAATTAATACAAAGCTGTCCAAAGAATATTTTGAAGTGTTGAAGTCATCTCTGAATGGATCATATCATTATGTGAAAGCAGTAAAGAAGGGTCAGACCATTATTGATGCTGCACTGACATCAGTAGTAGATCAGGTATGTTTTTATAATAACTCTTCCGCTTTACTGGTAGGCCTAAAAATAATTTGCCTGTGCAGTAGTGACTTAATAGTGACATAGTAAAAGGAAACCTAAGAATTGCATAGATCTAAGCTGTCTCTGTTTAAACAGATTAAGATCCAAATTCTAAAATCCTTACTTTAGGAGAACTGTCAATTAAGTCAACAGAGGATTTACCTAAATAAAGACTGGGGGATTTTGCTACTGAGTGTGTGGCAAACACCTGTTAAACTAGTGGTGCACAGCACTGATTTTTTTTTTTCATGGCAGATACTTATGTCGGCACATATCGTTTCCTTGTGCTGGTGCAATGGTCCTCTCACATTCTCTTGAGTGAATTTTACAGTTTATTGTTGTAGAATCATCAGTGTCATACCCTGGCCTTGTTCTGAATTCAGTTACATTTGGAAAGTTTTCTGTCATTTGGTAAGTGATGTTAAATGCTGGAATGAAAATCTGCCAAATGTATCAGCCTGCAAATTTCTTCAAATTAATATTCATTAACTTTCTGCTAGTTGGGCAGGCTGCTGAATGTATGGCTAACTAGGGCATGTGGTGTGAAAGTGATTTCGTTTAAACTTGGAAAAATTCAACGCTTCAACCCATTTGCTGTGAAATCATTCTAGTGATTCCTTGACTAGGATTTAGTAGATCCTTGTGTATGATAAGCTGTGCTCATTCTCTGTGTCAGAGAGGTGCTCTTGAATGAAATGAGGTCTACTGAGAGCTGTTAAAGTTTTCCTTCAGAACTCCAGTAAGAAATAGTATGTTGTGCCAGAGGGTTATGGCATTACAATTACAGCAAAGTTGTAAAGGCCAGTATTTCGGGATGGGTTGAGGAACGGGTCTTTTAGGCTGGGTTTCTTCTTCACCTGCTGCAGAGCAGAATAAGCAAAGAGTAAATGCAAGTGTGGAGTTACCAAATTAGATCTCTGGACAAGGTCTCAAAACCTAGGAGAGTGTATTTCTAATTGCTGTTTGCATTTTAAATTAATGTAGGCACCTGTTTCTCCACAGTAACACTACTCATTTAATACATTAGCACACTTTGCTGCAATGAGCTGACTATTTGCTCACAAGTAACACTGTTCATAAGTGACCCTAAATAGTTGCTTTCCTTTCTCTCTGAGATGTTTTCAAGAACTTGTCTGTATATAAAGACTAAACATTAATTCTAGGAAGAACTATGGTGCCATTTATAATACTGTGCTGTTGCTTTTTGTAGGATGGAGGTGTTCACACATTACCAGTTCCAGTGCGAAACCAGCAAGATGTTGAAATATATGTTCCCATAGTTCTTTCACCCAGCGTTTTGACATTTCCTTGGCAGCCAAAAGCAGGAGTCTACCAGTACACCATACAGGTATGCCAAACTACCTAAATGCAGGAAGTATTGCTCAAGCACATGCGGTGAGGCCTGTAACCACTTACATAGAGTTGACTTTGAATACTTCAGGCACAGTGATAACTAAAACTTTATTTGGAGGAATTTTGTTGAATGTTAGTTGCAGGAATCAATGTTTAGTTTGAAAAAAGCACACAAGAAACCAACAAACATAAAAACCCCACCGACTTGTACCTCTTGTCTTTCATTCACTTCCTCTCTCCCTCACATGTACATGACATACATACACGCGGAGTGGCTTGGAATTACAGAAAACATTCTACGTACAAACCTTCATAGTAATAATTAGAGGCTACCATTTACTGTAAAGGGATGGAAGTATGGGAGTATGAATTGGAGTGTGAAGTGACTGCAAAAAGGGCACGACAAGATTAATTAGCAGCACCCTATCAACCTTTGACATTGATATCCTTCGCTCACCACACATCTTGTGCTTCTAATAAAAAGTTATAGAAGTTATAGGGAGGCAAAGGTCACAGTTTCATTTATGGTATGACCTTTTAAAGGGACTTTTTTCTTACATTCCTTATGTGTGTCTTTGCTCCCATGCTGCCAGTCCTTCCTTACACTTCACGAAGCAAATGGCTTGTCTTCCAGTATCCAGAGTAACTGGAGAAAAGAACATTGTGCTTCCCCAGCCCGGACTCTTATCCCAGTACAATGATACCCAGATCCTGCACTCAAATGTTTCATGCACAGTTCCTACTACCTCTCCCTTTTAGCATGAAGAAGTGCTGAGGTCTGGGTCTGTCTCTGAGTAAACAGTATACAAAAAGAGGCAGCGGGACACATGGTGTCTGAAGTAAACAAATCAATCTCATAGGGATAAAATTGCGTTCTCTAGTGTAAATCTGAAGTTAAGGCCATTGAGTTTAGCACTGTCATCTGTACTTTTCATTTCTGTGGGATTAGAATTTAGTTTAGTTCATGCTATACCCAACCACGCCAGCAGAGTGTGGTAAAAATTCTTAGTACAAATATGCATTTTCAGTATGCATCATAACTTCTGCTAGACTTTTCAGAGTTAGGGAAAGTAGATGTTTGATTTCTGTTTTCCACCCCTTTTTACAGTTCTATTCTTGTCTCACCTTATCCTGCATGTATCATCTAATATCTCACTAGAGAACATGCCTTCGTGTTATTCCAGTAATTGCATCAGTATTCTTACTTTACTGTGATATTTTTTTTTTCATTAAAAACATAAAAACTTTTTCCTCCCAACATTTAAATTAGTTTGCATTTGCTGAAACTGAGAACATTTTCCCAATCTGCCCATTCGACAATACTAGTGGTTGTTTACAACAGCACACAGCATGACTGTTGTTCCTGCCTGTAGATTAGTGTTTGCCTCCTACTCGATAGTTTTTAAGTCAGGCTATTTTAAATTGGTGAATAGACTTTTTCTGAAAATAAGTTGAAAGGGATTTTTGGATCAAGCCAAATTCTGTTTATAGCTAAAGTAACTCCTTCCAGATGGTATCAGAATGACTTTTAGGTTTTACTTTGTCAGCTGTCTAGGTTTTTTTGTTGGTTGCTTTGTGCATATTTGTGCTAATGAGATGGCTTCTGTTGCAAGTAAAAAAGAAAAAAAAAAAAAAGGATGTTTCCTTCCTTTCTTCTTTCCTTCCTTCCTTCCATGCATTACAGAAATGAAGTGCCATCTTTGTGAAGTTAAGTTCTTGGAAGTCATTTTTTTTTTTTTTCTGGTGAGGGCATCACCTCACTGGTAACAGTTTGTGGAGTGCAGTTCAGCTTAACAGGCTGTGGATAATGTTTAGACTGAAATAGAAGCTGATTTTCCCTTTCCTCAGTGCAAACTGACTGCTAGAGAAAAATGTAGAAATGTGTCTGGTTTGTATGTCAACAAGATAGACCCCGTAGAATTATTAAGAATTGGGTAATTCTATTTTATGTTTACTGCTCATTTCCCTGTTTTAATTGAAAATATCTTTACAAAACATTCTGAACTTTTACATTCTTTGAACATTTCTCACCACATCCCATGCATCTCCTTCTGTCACACACCATTACCTATTTATCCATTTGTCTTTGTCCGGTGCTCTTTCTGTAATTATGTTGTGCACATGCGCATGGGAAGGAAAAAGGGAAATGACTGTCCTTTTGAATCCCTCCCCCACCCCACCCCCAGTAAAAGTTATTAGCTAAGATTTGGGTTTTGTCCACACTGTCCTTCTAGACAAGATTTATCATCTTGTTCATTTTTACTTTAATTATGAAATGGATTAGAGCAAATGCTGAGAAAGTTAAAGAAATTAAAACAATACACATAAACAAAAAAATTGTTCCTGTGTTCACCCTTGTTTTCTCTGATGGAACTTTGAAAATTATTTCAGAATGTGAAAGTCCTCTTTTTTGTTCCTTAACTTGCTTTAAAAATGCATTATTCTCGGTATACCTTTCTGCATAGTATTTGTCTCAACAGACACTTCCTACAGCTCACAATAATGATATTTAAAACCTATACATTTTACAGCATTGTAATGATTATGTTTCTTCAGTAACTAGTATTACACGTTTAGGAGGACAATACTCTGCTTGTGTTGGCAAAATGTTTTTTTGGCCCTTCACTTTATAAAATATGAACCTGCAGCAGATATTACCCTGTCCTGGCTGCCAAGTGCTCATACAGTGGGTATAATAATTTGTCTCTATTGATGTGGACCATGATATCAAATAACTAGTTCTTACCCTTCTGTAGAATAATTTCACTCGCTTTAGCACTTCTAATCATGAAACAACCCTTCAAAAGCTGGGAGCTCTAGGAAAACAGTGGGTTTTTCTTTTTTGTTGGTTTGGGTTTTTTTATGCAAATCTGCATGATAAACCTGAGCTTGTAAGTTTGGCAGTTACTGACTCCTTCCATGAAGTGCCATTGTGGGAGTGTAGCCTGTATGTTTCGCAGACCCTCGCAGTGCTTGAGTGCAAGAATGGGCAGTTCCCGTATGTGCTTATCACTCATTCCATGACTGATCAATTGCTGGAGCAGCACCTTTGTTGAATGGCTGCAGGTAGACGTGCTGATTTTCAGCATAAAAATCAAGTAGTAATGCCAAGAATAGAGTGATTTTTTTTCCCTTCCCTCCCCCCCCTTATTTCGTTCCCTCCCTGCCTCCCACCTTCTTTTCTCTTCCCTTTAGATCCCTTAACAATTCCCATTGAAAGAAGCTAATAGGTACAGAGTGTCAGGTTAGCAGCTCTGAGACCCAAAATCAGCACTTTGGCTGTCAGCAACAGAAACAGTGAGAGTTTTCAGAAGTACAATAATCCCATGTGCCAGGCCTTTGGTGTGCTGATCTGTGACATGCTCTGCTGACTCTAAGCACTATCAGTCACTGGGATTTATGAGCATCAGACTTCTGCAGCTGGGAGAGAGATACTTGGCTTAGCAGCAATGGTGAGCACATAGGATATCTGCATCAAGAAAGCTGAAATGAAAATGAATGAAGGGTAGTAATCTTCCCGTCTCTTACTTCACCTTGCGTATTTGAAAGTTCTGAGGTGTTATTTTATTTGTGTTTCCTCAATAATAGCATTGTCGTTGCTCAGTGTGTACCTGGTTTTCAGGCAAGATATTCAAAGGCTTGACAGCTAAGAAACATGAGAACCATATATTTTATAAAATATTTGAAACTTTTTTTTTCTCTGTATTCTAGGCTCATGGTGGAAGTGGAAATTTCAGCTGGTCCTATTCTAACCAGGCAGTTGCTACAGTGACAGTCAAAGGAGTAATGACAACTGGAAGTGATATTGGCATCAGTGTTATTCAGGCAAATGATGTTCAGAATCCGTTGCATTATGGAGAAATGAAGGTAAAACTCTTATTTTCCCTGGTCACTGTTGAATATGGCTTTTGGAAACAGTGAAGAAGCTGAGAATGCCATAGGCATTCCCCTTTCCGAAACGTTCCCAGGAGGTTTCCCTGCCTGCCCTGTGACACCTTAAGTGATCAGTTTCAGAGTTTCTGCTTCTGGGGATTCAAGCTCTCTCTACTGCATTAACTTTACTCCCATTTTTGCCCCTTCCTGATTTCCTTGGCAAGTCTTTTTCCTTGTTGAAAATCTTGAATGCAAGAAGGAAATAATAATTTACTACTGGCCTGGCCATCTAAGCAGACAAGCCAAACTATGCATTCTGCAGGGTAAGAGGTGGGTGTTTTCCCTTGATATAAAAGGATGACAGATATCATCAAGATGCGCAAGGAAATTCCTGCCTGGAGAAGGGGCTGAAACAAGTACAGTGCCATATAATGAATCTAGATACCAAAGCTGACCAAGAAAAAATAATCTTTTAGAAAAGTTAGGAGAAAATGGGATTGAAAAATATAGCTCCCAAAAGGGATTTTGCAGTCTCTGTGCAAATCATACCCTGTTCTTAAGACTTGGTCAGGATGATCAGTGTGTGGTATCGAGTGAAGAAAATGCAGGAACAGTATTTGTAGTGGCACCACAAAAAGACAGATGACGAAGCTGCTCTGGTTAATACAGTAAATCTACAGTCTTAAATATTTTTCTCTAGAATGTTATTGATTTGGAAATATCTCCTTATGTCCTTTGGACACAAATAATTTTTCTTAATGAAACTGTGTCAGTGCTTACTCTCTCTGTCAAGCTGTTAAGAACTGCCAGACCTGTAACATGATAGAATAGAAACTAAAAGTAATTACTACCGTGATGTGTATTTGCTACTGTGAAGTAGTACTACTCTGCTACCTTTACAAATTCAAGCATTTTAATGTATGCTTTACCTCTGCCTTTTGCAAAGAGCTAAGCATTGGAATGGAAACCTGACAGAGGAGAGGAAACTTGCTGCTGACCTCAGAAAAACTAACAGATAGTGTACTGAGCAGGTGTGACTAATCTGGGATCCAGAGGCTGTGTTTGTCTAACTGCAGGGTCATACATGAAATAGGTTTGTTTATGCCAGGCGGATGCTACTGAGGCTGGCAAACAACCTCCATCTGGCTAAGGCTTTATAAAGGTGACGGTCTTTGTACCTGAGGGAGCACAGAAATTGATTTAGGAAGCACGTCTTGCAAGCCCTGGAGCAGTGCACCTTCCTTCCAGGATACATGCCTGTAATTTGGCAACTGATGGGCAACAAGCTGATTGCATCAAATACACATACATTAGCTATACAAAATACTTCATAATTTTTAAGTATTCCTATGTGCAGCACTCCTGTAATTGTTGTACTGCACTTTTGTTGCACCAAAGTTCCTTTTGACAAAAGTACTGAAAAATGTGTTTGGTCAAGACTGCCAAGTCTGCCCATAATGAAGACAGAGCTACTTAAGCAGATACCTTTCTTTCTCTC